TCTGTACAGATTGGCCCCCATTAGATTGGCTCATACATCATATTGTGAAGGGAGGTATTGAGGCCACACATCAAAGTCGGCACCATCAGTTGTGTCCTACTGACGGAGTGCTTTGTCATTTAGTGACATCAAAATCAATTTCTTGAATAAATTTTTGTTTTGTACAAAATCAGTGCAGCTTGTAATGTTTTAACACTATAGTGAAATCCTACGTAGTTTTACATATTTTCATGTCAATGCATGCAGGGCTTCATCGAATGCCATTTGTATATCTGAAGCAAATACACCAACACACCCTGCCTCGATCAACCAACTTACGCACATACAAGCATACATTACTCACTTGGAGGCATATGCACGTCCTTAACTCATTCACCCCTACATAGTGACTTTAGGGGTGAATGGGTTGAAGGACTTCAGCTGTTCATAGGACACTATACACAAAAAAGCAAACATTTTCCCTCTTACTCCGTTTGCCTTGTCATATCATATATGCATTGTTGCATAATTGACATAACATTATACATTTGTCATGAATGGAGAATCCCATCTTCTCAACCGAAAGCAGTATTTTGAGGTATGTGGTAGACTGGAGTGCTGGCTATGACTGTATTTTGAGGTCTGTGGTAGATTAGAGTGCTGGCTGTGACAGTATGGGACTGTATTTTGAGGTCTGTAGATGGAGTCTAGTGTACAATAATTTTCAGAGTCTGCACTCACAGCTCCAGCGTTATAGACATATAATGATACACTTATGCTAATCTGTCATTGAGGGTGTAATTGTATGTGGGAGAGTGTCAAAGGGTCACAGTGCACATGTGTCGTCATTGTGGAGAAATTCTGTTTAGCCAGATGTTTGTCTGATGTGTTCATGATTCATGACTGAGCTCGTGATCGTTACACTAAACCAGGCCCTTAGTACAGTGAATGGGCCCTTAGTACACTAAACCAGGCCCCTATTACAGTGAATGGGCCCTTAGTACACTAAACCAGGCCCTTAGTACAGTGAATGGGTAGCATATGTGATCAGTATTGAAGTTTTTTTCCAGTGTCACTATAGCAACTGTCACTATAGCTTCTGTCACTATAGCAACTGTCACTATAGCTTCTGTCACTGTATCTTCTGTCACTATTATATCTTCTGTCACTATAGCAACTGTCACTATAGATTATGTCATTATAGCAACTGTCACTATAGCTTCTGACACTATAGCAACTGTCACTATAGCTTCTGTCACTATATCTTCTGTCACTATTATATCTTCTGTCACTTTAGCTTCTGTCACTATATCTTCTGTCACTATAGCAACTGTCACTATAGATTATGTCACTATAGCAACTGTCACTATAGCTTCTGACACTATAGCAACTGTCACTATAGCTTCAGTCACTATATCTTCTGTCACTATTATATCTTCTGTCACTTTAGCTTCTGTCACTATATCTTCTGTCTCTATAGCAACTGAGGGGGGGTGTGACTCCATCTTAACAATTAAGATTAGTTATTGGTTATCCTCTGGATGGCAGTTCTAGTTGTATCAGATGGTATCAGAATGGAAGAGCTTGATTAAGATAAAGGTTATATGCAGGTGGTTTGGGTGGTTTGGTGTGTGGGCTGGGTACGGGGACAGTGATAAATGGAGGTACTTTCCTGTAGGGGCTTTATATAGATGTGAGGTGCCCTGTATTAGAAAGTAATTATATATAATTTATTAACCTCCTATCAGGTGACTTTCAGGGGGACAAATTGATCTTGGTTTCTCCACGTGGTTTGTATGCTTTTAGAACACAAAAATCAAATGTTCTGGAAGACCTTTAAGACCAAAGATTACCTTTTTGAACTTTTCTGTTAATAAATACTTGCCAACTCTTCATATTTTGGAGGGAGACTCCTGATTTTGGACCCTAAAATAGAGCATTTTCAACCAGGGATTTATTAGCTGAAGGTTGAAAGAACAGCTCAAATTTTTTTCCCCCAGGGTGTATATACAGTACACACATTTTATTTATGCTTTTAATTCTGAGCACTCGTTACAATCTCCCTCATGAAAATTGCAAAAAGTTGGCACATATGTTAATGAAAGAAATGGTGGGAATTACCTTGGCACGATTGGTTGTCTACTGTAGGTTACACAACAGTTCTATTGGTGCCATTTCTGAGTGTTACACCTTGTTAATCAAGTTTGCTGTATGTCTTATCGACTGGATTTGTAACTATTGATAATGTCTGAGACAGTTAAATCATTCACCCCTTCCAATTCAAAGGTTGCAATAGTTCATTATGAAATTTCAGGGGTGAATGAGTTATACCATGTTACTGATATATAGGCTTTCACTTTACTGGACATGATATGTCCTAGACTCTCATCAAGGTGAAATCATCGATGTATCGACCTGGATTAGTGTGAAGTATTAATCCTTATGATGTAGTACAGTGATATTGTCAGGCCTTGATCCTGTACAAGCTGGGATGGCTAATCCTTCTCTGTTGTACAGCACTCGTTACTAGGGACGAGCAGCACCAGGTAGCTGGAGTGGCTAATCCTTGGCTGTTGTACAGCACTCGTTACTAGGGACGAGCAGCACCAGGTAGCTGGAGTGGCTAATCCTTGGCTGTTGTACAGCACTCGTTACTAGGGACGAGCAGCACCAGGTAGCTGGAGTGGCTAATCCTTGGCTGTTGTACAGCACTCGTTACTAGGGACGAGCAGCACCAGGTAGCTGGAGTGGCTAATCCTTGGCTGTTGTACAGCACTCGTTACTAGGGACGAGCAGCACCAGGTAGCTGGAGTGGCTAATCCTTGGCTGTTGTACAGCACTCGTTACTAGGGACGAGCAGCACCAGGTAGCTGGAGTGGCTAATCCTTGGCTGTTGTACAGCACTCGTTACTAGGGACGAGCAGCACCAGGTAGCTGGAGTGGCTAATCCTTGGCTGTTGTACAGCACTCGTTACTAGGGACGAGCAGCACCAGGTAGCTGGAGTGGCTAATCCTTGGCTGTTGTACAGCACTCGTTACTAGGGACGAGCAGCACCAGGTAGCTGGAGTGGCTAATCCTTGGCTGTTGTACAGCACTCGTTACTAGGGACGAGCAGCACCAGGTAGCTGGAGTGGCTAATCCTTGGCTGTTGTACAGCACTCGTTACTAGGGACGAGCAGCACCAGGTAGCTGGAGTGGCTAATCCTTGGCTGTTGTACAGCACTCGTTACTAGGGACGAGCAGCACCAGGTAGCTGGAGTGGCTAATCCTTGGCTGTTGTACAGCACTCGTTACTAGGGACGAGCAGCACCAGGTAGCTGGAGTGGCTAATCCTTGGCTGTTGTACAGCACTCGTTACTAGGGACGAGCAGCACCAGGTAGCTGGAGTGGCTAATCCTTGGCTGTTGTACAGCACTCGTTACTAGGGACGAGCAGCACCAGGTAGCTGGAGTGGCTAATCCTTGGCTGTTGTACAGCACTCGTTACTAGGGACGAGCAGCACCAGGTAGCTGGAGTGGCTAATCCTTGGCTGTTGTACAGCACTCGTTACTAGGGACGAGCAGCACCAGGTAGCTGGAGTGGCTAATCCTTGGCTGTTGTACAGCACTCGTTACTAGGGACGAGCAGCACCAGGTAGCTGGAGTGGCTAATCCTTGGCTGTTGTACAGCACTCGTTACTAGGGACGAGCAGTACCAGGTAGCAGGAGTGGCTAATCCTTGGCTGTTGTACAGCACTCGTTACTAGGGATGAGCAGTACCAGGTATTCAATGCTATAGCACTCTGTCGCAGGGTAAGATTGATTCTGTCTTCGTTTAATAGAGTCGCTCCGAAGTTGTTCACGTTTAGTTGCCGTCATTGGGAAGTATAACGATGTGTTACCATGACAACTGTACAGGTGCTGTCTTTATAAATCAAAGTTAATGTTGGTCAATTTACACTGAAAATTCTTACAACAGCAGAACCTAGACGATATTCAGGAAAGGACATTATTCAGTGAAGTATACGAGAGATTTTCGCTGCAGATCACCTTTCGCCTTTCCACGCTCTGTAATGAGGGTGAGTTTATCACTAAGCAACTTAAGCATTAGAAGCAACAAAATAAATGTAATACATGTAATCAAATGTGATGGTCAAAAAAAAATTAAAAACATTTACAGATGAGGGGTGAAAGTTATTTTTGTTATACAGTATGTCTGTATATAGTGAGACTCGCCATCAGGGAGTTTAATACCCACATTTACATGTAGGGATACTAGCACAATTATTAGGCTATGATTTGGATTTCAAAATGTCAAATTGTGATGTGACATATATTATGACCTTAAAATGTTGTGACTTTGACATTTGAATTTTTCTTTCATCTAAATAGGGTTCACTGTCGCTGATGCTTCCAATCTGTGAAAAATTGAATAATACATTTGTTACTGGAAAGGACTTAGAATTTTTCTTTGTCTGTCTGTGTATCACCTTGTCTTGGGCATTATCTACAGTCAAAACAACATTGAAAAAAAATCAAACAACATCTTCTCAATACTCAAAACTTCTTGGGTGATGATATCTTGTCAGTAGCATGCCGGAATTAAGGGCTACAAATGTTGTTCAAATGAATAACCTTGACCCATTTTCAATGTCACCGGGGTCAAATACATAGAAAAATGACCCACTCTTAAGCTTACATATAGCAGATTGTTAATTTTTGATTTTGTTGATTTTTGTGGGTAATCTTCATCCACGAAAACATAGGTCCATGAAGTAATTTCAAGTTTGATACAAAGCCATTCTACATATGATGTACCTATGAAATGGTCTTTAGTTGAGAAACCATGAAATTTCAGCCCCATGAAAATATCAGATTTCACAGTATTTTACTTCATAACTTGTGTCGAGGTCACTATTTGTGTCGAGGTCATTATTTGTGAGCTGTTGGAATTCTGTCCTCACAAAAATTACAGGGAAAAATCTTGTGAAATATGAGTGATTATTAAAGCCTTTAGATAATGTTTTTGTCTTGTTTTACAGGTATGAGGACGCTGGTGTGGTTATGACGAGTCGGAGCACATGTAAGTTATATTGATACTTAATCTGGTTGTTAAATAAACCTTCATAACAAAAAATAACACAATTGATAAAATAAATAAGACAGACAATACAATGAATAGTACTATTTTTGTCAGAAGTCTTTCCCCCTTTTTTCAAGCACTCAGTGAATTATTTAAGCAGCCCTTTTCAGAAACACTCTCCAATCTGGCCTTGTCCAGTAAAAAAAAATATAACTATATAAATGTTATATCAAACACCACAGTTTTGCTATCTGACAAGACACCATGGCAAAGTATGAGTAATGGCCAGGTACTCCGGTTTTCTTCCACAACCAAAACATGGCATGCCCTTAAATGGCCATGGTTGTTAATTGATAGAGCATACAACCCACACAATCTGACAAGACTGTTTCCAGTGTTTTAAAAAAGAAAAAAAGAACAATTTTTGCAAGTACCCCGTTTTTTCATGCATCCTGGCCCTAATTATGGTTACTATGGTACATGAAGACATTCAATACAGTTAACAGTATTTTATACCATGATGTCTATCAAGTAGGAGAAGGAAGGAAGCACAATTAATAGGAAGTTTAGAAAGATTAATTAAGATAATTGATATTAAAGGCAGATTACAGACACAGAAATAAGCACACTTCTATTATCTTTTTAGGTAAATAAACACATTTTGGGAATGAGAGTCGTGAATGTTGGATCATACAACAGGCTGAAATATTGCCCAATATTTGGAAGACTGTTTGATGTAATATTGACATGCTTTGATATTGCTGTTGATCAAAGGGAAGGAGAATTAATATCACTGCTACCTCCCTCTGTGTCCACAGGGTGTGTGTACCTAACCAATACAACATGAGTGATTTAACCCATTCACCTCTGAAGACACATTTGAACTCTTCCAATTCAAATATTGGAATAGTTCATTATGAAATTCAAGGGGTGAATGAGTTAATGTTAATCTCCACACTACAATAACGTACTGATCACCGAGATCCTCATCCCTATTTGTTTACTAGCACCTGGTCATGTGATCTCGTTGATGTGTTGCCATGGTTTCTAATTAAATTTTCAATCGACCGATGGATTTGGTTGCTTATTCCACAAGCTTGTAATGACGATGATATGAAATCACTTCAGATTGGAAGACTGTTTCAGATCTGCTCGTTTTAATTATAAAAGATGTGGAAATCAGATCATTATCTGTAATGTGTATATAACTAGACCAAACAAACATAAATAGGGGTCAGTGTTTCAGGTCTGTTACCAATTATTATAATAGTGGTTGACTTCATAGGGTTGGTGATTTAATTGTTCAATAAATAACATGAGACTGGGAGATCTAGCGTCCATTAAAACAGTTCGGCGACGTTATGTGTTACCCAGCAGATAAAGTCCACAAGGAACACACAAGTCCGGCTGTAGTAGTAGAGTTATCAATAGGTAAAGATGACCATGACAACGTCGTGCTGGGTCTACCGGCTTTAATGAAAATTACATTAATTAGTTTCAACACATAACATGTTATTGTTCAATTAATTGCTGGTTGAGTCCCCCATGAAAATTAAAATTCTGCTGGTCGCTGGTTCACTCGCCAATGAAAGTCTGCAGTTGATAGTTCAGACCCCAGTGAAATGCTGGTCGCGTCACTGGTTCAGACCAAAGTGAAATGCTGGTCATGTCACTGGTTCAGACCAAAGTGAAATGCTGGTCGTGTCACTGGTTCAGACCAAAGTGAAATGCTGGGAGCGTCACTGGTTCAGACCAAAGTGAAATGCTGGGAGCGTCACTGGTTCAGACCAAAGTGAAATGCTGGGAGCGTCACTGGTTCAGACCAAAGTGAAAAGTTGGTCATGTCACTGGTTCAAACCAAAGTGAAATGCTGGTCACATCACTGGTTCAGACCAGAGTGAAATGCTGGTTATGTCACTGGTTCAGACCAAAGTGAAATGCTGGTCGCGTCACTGGTTCAGACCAAAGTGAAATGCTGGTCACGTCACTGGTTCAGACCCCAGTAAAATGCCGGTCAAGTCACTGGTTCAGACCAAAGTGAAATGCTGGTCATGTCACTGGTTCAGACCAAAGTGAAATGCTGGTCACATCACTGGTTCAGACCAGAGTGAAATGCTGGTCACATCACTGGTTCAGACCAAAGTGAAATGCTGGTCATGTCACTGGTTCAGACCAAAGTGAAATGCTGGTCGCGTCACTGGTTCAGACCAAAGTGGAATGCTGGTCACGTCACTGGTTCAGACCAAAGTGAAATGCTGGTCGCGTCACTGCCTATGGTTCAGACCAGATTGAAATGCTGGTTGCGTCACTGGTTCAGACCAGAGTGAAATGCTGGTCACGTCACTGGTTCAGACCAAAGTGAACTGCTGGGGTTGTCGCTTGTTCAACACATGTGACATTATAGGATGTGTTGCAGTGTATAACATGGTTTGATGGAGATATTACCCAGTCTAGAATGTGTCTTCATGTCAATTTAAGTTAATAAAAGCTCATAGAATTGACGTTTTTTATTTGACAGATACCAAATGAAGTCTGTTTGAAAGTAGGTGAATCATTCTGAAGATATCGTCTGTATTGTGAGTCTAGTTGAAGATGTAAGACTCAGCCTTTAAGCCTCTCACCCCTATGTAACTTTAGTAAACTCTACCATGCATTGATCTGGATGATTCCATGGTGGTCTACAATGGTGAAAGGGTTAAGCATTTGTTTTACTGATATCCTCAACTCTAGACCTAATTTTCTTCATGTTAAACATAATCAGCTTTAGCTGAGAGTATATAGATGTTATCTCAACATGGAGAGAGGCGTTAGCTATCTTCTAATAAATGCTGAATACCCTGCTGTAAGTTTTGGAATATTCCATATGAATCAGAAGTAGAATCCATTATCAGTGTAGAGGGATGCCAGGTAGCTGATACGACAGAACCATTGTATATAGCTTAACCGTTGGCCAGACATCTAATTTGGATTCATTAAGACATTTTGTTATAAATTGCTGATAAAAAATCTGCCCCACCCTTGAACCACAAAGTTGAATGCAGTAGATATTCTCAAATTATGACTGTAATAATAAATTAGTATATTTACACCTATTTCATATAGCAAAACTGGACTTGTTTGATCTTCGGTATCTCAATTGGTAGATCATCTGTCTACAGATCAGAGGGTCCAAAGACACAAAAAAATACAAAATACTTGTGAACTTGCTGTCACTTCTCCATATTTGCACTTTGAAATTTCGGTGAATGACTGACGTTTGGTGTATGATGTTATGAACATCTTGGTCCGGATTCTGATTTATCAGTGATCATGTGATCAATCCGTTCTTGTGATAGTTGGATTGTCTGATGCTTTGTTAAGTCACGCCTATTTACCGTAATGATTAGAAGTGCGGAGGTAATGGAGTGTACCGTGTGGGGATTGTGTATGTCATTGATACTCTGTCTCTTTAACTGGTATATTCAGGGTGGATCATTAAGGTACATCTACATCAATATTGTATGTAAGAGTGTGAACATAGGCCATTGAGTTTACATTAACTCAGTATTAAATCTATTACTAATGAACCGTGATGTTTCAGCCCACCAATACATACATTATGTACCGTGATGTTTCAGCCCACCAATACATACATTATGTACCGTGATGTTTTTGTCTCACCAAAATTTTGTCCTTTTCCTTTCAAAACAAAATTGCACTAAAACTGATTTTTTTTAATCCTGATAAAACAGGTTTTTCAGATTGGATAGATGTTTTGTATATTGAACAGGTATTTCATGGATTTCAAGTATTCTACAAATTATACAGGTATAACAGAAATTATTTGACAGGTATTTCATTAATTGGACAGATTTTTCCGAGACTAGAAAAGTATTTTAAAAATAATACAGGTATTTTCACAAATAAGATTTTTTTTTCCTTCGGAATAGGTAGGTGTTTCATAGATTTACAAATGATACAAATATTTGATAATATTATATGATATTCTATAATTTATACAGGTATTTCAGAATAGGCAGGTGTTTCATTGGACAGGTATTTCACATATTTCATTAGACAGTTATTTCACAGATTAGACAGGTATTCCAGAAACAGGTATTTCAGAAACAGGTATTTCATTAGACAGTTATTTCACGGATTAGACAGGTATTTCAGAAAAGACAGATGTTTCATTGGACAGGTATTTCATTTATTGGACAGGTATTTCATTTATTGGACAGGTATTACAGGTATTTCATTTATTGGACAGGTATTTCATTTATTGGACAGGTATTTCACATATTAAAGATGTAATCAGACTAGACAGGTATATACACATTATACAGGGGTCTCAGTTATATTTAACCCTTTCACCCCTAGGTAACTTTAGTAGAGGGTTAACCAGGTAATTGAGATAAGGCAGATATTCAGATAATAGTGATATTTTCTATTGTATGCTGTGTCGACTTGATACTGTATTCCGTAACGTCTGGCACGGCTCCAAGGCTTGTAATGTACTTTATGTGCCGGGGAGGAATGTTTTATGGTAAAACTGAAGACTTGTATTTTACAGTGCCATAGATAGGTGGATCTTTATGGGTAGCAGCATTGGAGTTTCCTGTGCCACTTCAATAATGAATGTGTCTATTTTATTATGTGACGAAACAGCAGCGGCTGGTGTAGTTTAGTATTGTTTATATCTGTGTCCTGACTAGCGTTCGATTCATCAACAGATAAAATGTTTGGCATTCTTAAGGTTATATTTTTCTATGACAACTTTCATTTTTTTGGCAGAGATATACAATATATATATCTCTTTGACTTACGCCTGTAGACCTATAATATTTCACAAATTATTTACTTTCAAGTTAATTTATGGGGAGATTTTATTAAAATAAAAAATAAAATTTATTATGACAGCAAATAGTACATACTTCGTAAAGTGATTACATGTGAAGGATAAGATTATATGGAAACGTTTGCCCAAACATTTTGCCCAGTGTTAACTTTGCCTTCCATAT